TTCTGATCACAATGCAGTTAAGTATTTCTTCTGATCACAATGCAGTTAAACAGAAGTCCACTATAGAGAGCTGGGAAAGTCAAACACATAGAGACCAGACACATCAATAACTATTAGGTCAATGAGAAAAATCAAAGACACAAACTATTGGAATCTGCTGGATGCAGCAAAAGCAGTTTCAAGAGGGCAATTCATAGTAATACAGATTTACATCAGAAACAAGAAATTTTTCAAATAAACCACCTAACATACCTTAAGGAACTAGAAAAAGAAAAAGTAAAACAAAATATCAATAGAAAGAAAGAAATAGTAAAAATTTAGAGTAGATGTAAAAATATATAATACAGAAGTTCTTTACTCACAAAAAAATAGAAAACACTGTAAATAAAAAGGATTATAATATTATATAGCTATGAAGAACTTTATGCCAATAAATTGGAGAATATAAGAGAAATAAGATTGTATAATTCCAAGAATTTGTCTAAGACTCAGTCAGGAGAAAATGGAAAACCCAGACCAACAATTAGCAAGGAAATTGAAATATTAATCAGCCTCCAAGAAAATAAATGCACTGGGCCAGTTGGTTTCACAGCAATGTCTACCAAGCCTTCAAAGATGAGCTAGTAGCTATCTTTAAGCTTTTGCAAAAAAAAAATTAGAGGTGATGCTTCCAAATCCATGAAAGCAAACAACTCTAAAACAAAGCAGACTACGTCAGCTCTTTCTGCTCACTTGTGTCTGCGCAAGCTTCTTCTCTCCATTTCTTAAACTGTCACTTAAGAATGTAAAAAAGGGCAGGACATCAAAAAAATTAGTCCAATATCTTCAGTGAATTTGTCTGCCTGTCCTTCAAACCATACTGTGAGACTTGAGAATAGAGATGATTCTTCAACTCTATGCCTTAATATTTAGCGTAGTCTTTGCATAGAATAGATTTTCAGTGATTATTGAAGAACATAAAATAATAAATACCTCTACTTTTATACAAAAGAAATTCTTGCCACTGCCACAACATGGATGGAAGTAGAGGAGATTATAGTGTAATAAATGAGAAGAAAGACAAATACTAAATTATTTCACTCACGTGGAATATGGGGGGGGGATACAACAAAACAAACATGACTACAGAACAGAGGCTACTAGAGGGGGAGAGAGGATGGGGTGGGAGCAATGTTGGGAGAGGGCCTAGTGACCAAGGCTGACAGACTAGGGCTGATCTGATGGTGAAGGTGGAGTAGGTAGCATACCTCTGAGGAAGTATAAACCTATTCCCCTAAGTCATATACAGTGCTGCAAACCAATGTTACTTCAATAAAGAAAATAAACTTCAGTTCATAATCAACCAAACTTAAACAACAAAAAATAACAACCACCAAAAGAAATCCTAGAGCTCTAACAGCAGAATTGATTCTACCAAAAGGGGAGAGTGAGGGTGGGGACAAAGGGGTAAGGCTCATGAACAGTGATAGAGTATTATGGGTGCTTTTGACACTGGGTGTGGTTCAGTGCCATGTATCTGAAGGGGTGGAGGACCTGTGTCTCTAAATCATAGGTTTGTAAACCAACATGATCTCAATTGAAAAATAGTAATCAATAAAAATTAAATGAAATAATTTTTTTAAATGTGTACTTTTCGAGTGCTTAGCATAAACCAAACAAAATGGTAAATGCCTTGCATATATCTTGTTTAATATTGTATCATTTTATAGATTAAGAACTAACATTCAGAGAAGCTAAGTAGTCTGTCCAAAAGTAACATTGAGAAGCAAATGTTCAGGATAAAGGGAGAATAAGGAGAGAAGTAAACACTAGCAGAATATTCTAGAATGCACTCCTATGCCAAAAAGTCTATAGGGTCATTTGTGCTCAAGGATCTCTCCACCTACCCACCCCCCTTCCTATCCATTCAAACTCTTCAGGTAATCTTCTATGCTATCATATCCTTTCTCCCCCACAAAGACCAAATTCCCTAGCTTCAACTTCTGCCTCTTTCCAGCATCCCAGAGGTCTTCTTAGTAAAAATTCCTTGGAGATGAAATCACTGTTAGGGCCCTAATGACAAGATAAATACTCTAGTTAATTCCTTCTCACACTCTAATCCCTGCAGGGCCAGAGACTCTGTGACCACTTCCTGCTCCAGACCTGGTAAGTCTGTGTGTGCATCCTTATGACAGGCACACTGAGTGGACTACCTGCCTGGCTGCCACTAAGACTTTTCTTCCTGAAGTTGTACGTCTCCTTGATCTGAGTGGAGCCAAGTAAATACATGTCCTTGATCAACTGTTACGTGCCATGTAGTGCTGTTGCTCTTCCACAGTAATTCTTCACAGTAGTAGCCATGAATGGGGAATCTCCTTTCCAAGACGCTGACGAGGTTAAATTTATCTGAGATCACACTGCCAGAGAGTTAGCAGAGTTGGGATTTGAATCAAGCTGTTCTGGTCTCACACTAAGCTACCCACTTGGCAGGTAGCTTACAGATCCTCATGAGCATCTTCGGGATGAAGAAGTTACTCCTTTTCTCAGGAATCAGCCTTGTTTCTGGTGTCTGAGCTCCTACACATGTATATTTTAGGTAAGGCCTTTCTTATACCAATTGACAAGATAATGAAGAACAAAAAGAGGTGAGGGGCATAAAGCTATTTTGGAAAAGTCATCTGAAAGATGCTAGAGTCTCTTCTTCCCTAATGTTCAGAGGCAGATGAATCAGGAGAAAATAACAGAATATAGACAGAAGAGGGCTCACAGTCAGAGAGAAGAAAATCTGTAACCACCCATCTTCAGTTTGGGCAGGATGCTGCATCCATGCTACTAACCCAGCCTGGACATCACTGCGTTAAACTAATGAAAAGACTCCTTTGAATCCTGATAATCACGCTACCCCTGCCTTGCCTCTTTCCTAGCACACTACCATCTTCTCCCCATGGAAGATTTTCATGTACAATTTCCTGCTGCTATTTCAATTTCAGCCATGATGTAAGGATAAATCGCAACTTCTTCATCTCTTAGGGTTTCCTAGGGCTCAGAGCAAGTCCTTGCATACCCCTCCTACCTTGACCTGACCATGCAATTCATCAACCACAGCCATCAAAACCCAACCTCTTTTGTGCTCATAGGAATTCCTGGTCTGGAGGCATCCCAATTTTGGATCGCATTTCCCTTCTGTTCTATATATGCCTTAGCAGTGCTGGGCAACATGGTGGTGCTGCTAGTGATACGTTCAGAGCCTGCACTGCATCAGCCCATGTACTTTTTCCTGTGCATGCTGTCCATGATTGACCTGGTGATCTGCACCTCCACAGTGCCCAAGCTCCTTGCAGTCTTCTGGGCAAATGCTGCTGAGATCGCCTTTGAGGCCTGTGCTACCCAGATGTTCTTCATCCATGGCTTCTCAGCTGTAGAATCTGGTATCCTGCTAGCAATGGCCATCGATCGCTACTTGGCCATCTGCCGGCCACTGCACTATGGGTCTTTACTGCCCCCAGAGGCTGTGGGAAAGTTGGGGGTTGCAGCTGTGTTTCGAGGCTTGGGACTTATGACCCCACTCACCTGCCTACTGGCGAAGCTGAGCTATTGCAGTCGAGTGGTGGCCCACTCCTACTGTGAGCATATGGCTGTGGTGAAGCTGGCTTGTGGGGGCACACGGCCCAACAACATCTACGGCATCACTGCAGCCACACTGGTGGTAGGCACTGACTCCATTTGCATTGCAGTCTCCTATGCACTCATCCTCCGGGCCGTGTTAGGCCTCTCCTCAAAGGAAGCGAGGGCTAAGACCTTTGGTACTTGTGGCTCCCACCTGGGTGTCATTCTTCTCTTCTATACCCCAGGACTCTTCTCGTTCTACACACAGCGTTTCGGTCAGCACGTGCCTCGGCATGTCCACATCCTCCTGGCTGACCTGTACCTGGTGGTTCCACCTATGCTTAACCCCATCATCTATGGCATGAAAACCAAGCAAATCCGGGATGGGGCCTTCCGACTGCTGAAGCGGGGCGTGGCTCAGTCATAAAGTCTCCACTCCACCCTGAGGCCCTCAGCCTTTGGGCAAGCTTTAGACCAGTAGCTCCCAGCAGGCTGGGGAAACCCCACTCTGTGGCATCCTTCCTTTGGTGGGTAAGTATAGTAAGTCAGGTGGGAAAGAACCAACAGGTTTTTCCTGTGTATGATCTAGATAGAAACCCCACACTGCTTTCTGATACTGCTCCTACCTTCCAAGAGACCTTCCTAAAATGAGAGTATGACTGCAGTCTGACAAGGGGAAATCACTGTCATCCACAGGCAGGCCTTCCTCCTCTGATAGGGAGACAAGGAGAATTCAGAAGCACACACAGAAGCAGAGAGGCAGGAGACAGATACAGAGCATTCAGCAGGGAGACACGGGAACAGTATGAATAGACTGTGTCCATTGTACAGAGCAACGTGCATTAGGCCTAATGTCGGTCACATGTTCTGGGGAAGATGAGCATGCATTATTGACCAGAGACATCGCTAAATTCTCAGGATATGGACTTGATTAGGTAAAAAGTTCCTTGTGGTGACTGCTCACTGTTAGGAGATATAAGTGTACAGAATAGCCAAACCAATCTGACTATAAGCACTGGGGCATGTGGGGCCTGACAAGGGCATTTAATCTGCTCAAGGGGGTGAGGGCCAAGGCTCATCTCATTTCTACTCACTTCTGCATGGGCAAAAAAGGCCACCTCCATGAAGGGCTTTGACCATCCTGGGTGTAAGTTATGGGAACAAAGTCTCAGGCTATATTATGCCAAGAGTACCATCCTCAGTTTGTAAAGTGGCCACAAACTTCAAATTCCAGGGCAGAGGTCAAGGACATTCTCTGGAGAGAAAATGGTGGAAACAGCTCAGTTGGCCCTCCTGCATGGGTTTATAAAATTGAAAGCAATGGATGTGAGCAGAAGGCTTAGGGTCCAGAGTTCTCAGGACCTCTGGCTTCCACAACTGCATTCAGAACCTACAGGAAGTTTGAAGAGTATTGATAGGTATTTTGTTCACTTCAATTAAAACACTTCAATAAGCTAGGGAAGCGCTTACACAGAAGGTCGTAGTAGACCCAGGATAACCTAGGTCACCAGAACTTCAGTGATAGCTTAGCTTAACCCAATGAAGTACACAAGAGAGGTACACTATCTTACTGTTCTCCTCACCACCTGATGAGGTGCATGTGATTAATGCAGAGCCAGAGGATTAGGAAGCTAAGAACTTGTCCAACAAAGCAACTGTCAAACTCATCTTATTCTATATTCTGCACTTTCACTCTATCAGCTGAGTTCCTTTAAATCTAGACCCTAGGACCAAGAATCTAATGAGTTAAACTAGGTCTGAGGGGATAATTCATTCTGATATCACTGACATTTCTGGGAACATACAACATGCCAAACGTCCTGGGGTCTAGAAATATAACAGCGATTCAGGGAAAACAAGTCCCTGGTGAATTAATAAAAGGCCAGCAAACCACCACCACCACCCTATGCACCCTTAGTGACTCCCATATTACCCATCTAAATAATTAATCCTTCAGGACTTAGCACTTATAAATTTAATTTATTCAGACAACCCAGGTTGCCAGACAAGATCTTAAATCGACCAATTCTACTCCCCCCTCTTTGGGACTACATTTGTTATGATTGGATTTATTTTTCCAAAACTACCTTTTTAAATGTGATATCACTTAGTTAAAATAAATGGTATACATTGAGAGGACATCAATATCACCACCACCTTAAGGACACAGAATATTTTCATAATCACAATAAAGTCCTTGTGTTCCTCTCAGACAACGCTTCCCTCTCCAACATGACAGCGATTGTTGGTTTTGATCACCGATCACCCAGCACCAAACTTACTGTTTTAGAAATGTGTGTACGTTGTCCAATACACTGTACACGACTTCTGTGCTGAACATGTCTTTGAAATTTATTTGTATTGGGTGTATCAACTGTTAATTCCACTTAACTGCACTTTTACTGCTAATATTTCACCTATCAACATACCAAAGTTTATCCATCTTGGACACCTGGGCTGTTTCCTATTTAAATTCCAGTTCTGAATAACTTTGTGATAGTTATTTCTTTACCTAAAAATTAAGTTCTAGGCTATATGGTTAAGTATAAGTTTAAATTTATCAGAATCTACCAAATGGTTATTTAAAGTAAGTGTTCTATTTTTTTTATCCTCACCAGTCACTTACCATAGTTCCATGTCCCAGCTGGTCCTGGATATTCATATTCCACAAAATACTTAAATTTGTTGTTGAATTTGTTTTTGTTTTGTACCAATTGTTATACATTCTGTATACAAATCATTTGTGATCTATACACAGTGAAAAATACTTTGTCAATTTTGTGGCTTGTCTTTTGACAAAAAAATTTGATCAAGTAAAAATCTTTTTCATGGCTGGTCTTATGTTTTACAAATTTATCTTTGATTTCATGGTCTGAGATCCAGCATAAATTATTGTATGACCTGGAAGATATCAAGATTTATCACATATGGATGTACAGTTGTCCCAGAATTATTTGTTGAATTTCTTTTACAAGTTGATATGCCTTGGTAACTTTTTCATCAGTCAACACTTTATGTGTAAATTTACTTCTGAATATTTCTTCCATTAAACCATTCGGCTAACCATTTGGCTATCCATGTATCAATGCTGTTCTGTGTTATCAATGCTGTTCTGTGTTATCAATGCTGTTCTGTGTTGTCAATGCTGTTCTGTGTTATCAATGCTGTTCTGTGTTAATATAAGTCTGAAAATGAAGTAAGTCCTCAGTGTACCTCAAGTCATTCTGTCTACTCTTCTTTGGCTAAAATATGTATATAAATTTGTTAATTTCTACATAAATTATTGTGTGATTATTTTCTCCAATCTTATTTTATGGTTAGGATCACCAATATAATCAGTTCTGAAAGCAAAGGTCCTTGCCTTACTTGTGATCTTAGGAGGAAAACATTCAATCTTTCCTTAAGGATGATTGAACCACAGGATTTTACCAGTTGTTGAAGATTTTTACCCATGTGGTGTTGAATTTGGTCAAATCACTTTTCTTCACTGAAGAATGGAGGATATCATATTGACATTTTTAAATACTAAGCCACCTTGCATTCCTAGAATAAATCTCATTTAGTCATGTATTATCATATTTATATATTGAATTCAGTCTGCTAAGATTTTGATTAATGGTTGTTTAATGCTTGTGATAATTGATCTTGTCATTTTCTTTTGTAATTTCTTCAAATTTTTATATCAGGGTTTTACTTGCATCACAAAATATTTTCAAGTACTCCCTACTACTGTTTTATGAAAATGTTCTTGTAACAATCCTTAAACGTTTGATAGAATTCAGTGAGTCAGGGTCTAAGGTATTTTTAATTTCAATTTAATTTCTAATGAATATAGATGACTTACACTTCACATTTTCAATCTTCCCATTTCCTCTAAATTGTCAAAATAATAAATACCAAATTCATGAAATCTTTCAATTCTGTTGGACCAGCCACCTCTTATTTTTGATATTAGTTACTTGTGTGTTCTTTGCCCTATTGTCATGTTGGAGGGGGAGGAAGGTTTTTCAATCTTATTTTTAGAAATACATTGTGGCTTTGTCAATTTTTCTCTACTGTCTTTTTTTTTTTCATTGATTACTCCTATTTAGTTTGGTTTTAATTCCCTTTTAATTCTAGCTACTTCTAGCAGAAATTTAGTCCACTGATTTTAATTAAGCCCTTTTTCCCTTACTGTAAGAATTTATGTGTATAAAATTTTCTCCATGCATTGTTTTAAAGCCGTATCTCACAAATTTTGATATTTTAAAATAATTTGTCCTGGCCCTCCCTGGTGGCGCAGTGTGCTAGAGCACAGCACTAAAAAGCTAAAACCACTTCCGCATGAGTTTGCCCCCACCCTCCCCCGCCCCCCACCTGCCCAGAGGTTACCCACATGGTGTGGCAGACCTCTCCTGGCCTGCCCGCTGCTCCCCTCAGCAGTGTACTTCGAAGATCTGCCTGTTCTGCTCCCCACCCTGTCTCTAGTGAACCCTCTCACCACCCCTGCCCATCTGGCCTGTACCCCAGTTCTGTATGCACAAATAAATCTTTAAAAAATAATATAATTTGTCCTAACATCTAATTTCCTTTTTTTTTCTTGTTTATATATCTAGTGCTCTATTCTACTTATTAGTGTATTTAATCCATAACATTTAATATTACTATATGCTTGGGTTTAAGTCTATCTTACTTATTTGCCGTTGTTGTATTCATTTCATGTTATATTTCCTGTTTTTGAGTTAATTGAACATATACTGAAATATCACTCCCTCTTCTCTGTCTTTAACAGCACTTTGTATTTTTGTACAGGTAGACCTAGGACTTACCCTGTAATTCGTAATTTATTACCATCTTCAATGTTATACCACTTCCTGCACAATATAAGAATATTCAATTTCATTTACTCCATTTTTTGTGCTACTACACAAAATATACATATATTTCATATATTAACTTCAAAAATTATCTTGAACAACTTAAAGACTTAATAAAGAAAAATAGTCATTATTTAATGCATATATTTCCTATTTTCAGTTTTCTCCTTTCTTCCACATAAATCCAATTTTTTTTTTGAGCTTCAAAAAACAAAGCAAAAAATTAACAGAACTTAAAGGGAAAGTGGGCACAATTGTAGTTTTAAACAGTTCTGTCAGACATCCAAGTATTTTTCATCAGCATGTAGAATTTCCTTTAGCTTGTAGTATAAGCTTATTAGGAAGAATTTTCAACCTTTACCTGCAATGTTATTTAAATTTTATTTTTGAAAAATGTGCTAGCTATAGAAATCTAAATTGATAAGTTTAGCTATTCTTTGTAGAGCATCAGCACTTTTAATAGTTTAATACTTTCTGGTACTTCTTTGGTTTTTAAACTGATCTAATTTTCTTATAAAAGTCATCAGTCTTATTGTTCCCAAATACATACTATATCTTTGCTCACAAGTGC